TGTCATCACCACAGTAACATCGAAATGCGGATAAAGTCCGATTTGTAAGGTATTTAACTGTGGTATTTTACACAGACGACCACGTGAAAAATACTTTAGGGCCCTATCTTTTTCAAACTGTTGTAACTTCTTTGCACTTCTATATTCCTCCCAATTAGAATAGCTAAAATAGGGATGGAACTAGGTCAAAACATTAACCTATAAATAATCTGTGAAGTGGATTTTTATCCCGTGAAAACCTTAAAGGCCTATTTATAGTCATATTGCTTCAAAGTAAACGACTCATATAAGGTTTATGCCAAAATAAATGTTCTGCAAACAATTTTTACCAACCAAATGCACTGAGGGTCATAGTACTGACTTCAAAATACGGAAACCTTTATATTGGAGGCATATACGTGGGTCAATATGTAACTATCCTTATATGAACGATGAAGAAATGTGAAGATAGATAGAGTCTTGATATATATCCAGATGCTCTACCTCTAAAAAATATATTTACATGAGATACATTAAATAGGCAATAATGGTTTTTATATTCTTCACCAGGCATATTCCATATTTAAAATCTTTACTCTCAGTCTATTTGACAACAATTTCGAATCAAATTGTTTCTGCCAAAATGTGTTTCGCCCAGCAAGAACTCGGAATGAAGGTACATTCTCCCACCATGTAAAAACATCAACATAAATTATCGAAACATTAAACATCGAATATTCGGCACCGATTTTCGAATTGATGTGATTCCATTACAAAGCAGCCTAAAGTATGCAACAATAATGAAATTCACTGCTATTATACTCTGCCCTATTTGAAGATAATAATATCGGTTCACTGTCTCGCAATAAAACGGAATTATTCGATGTTCTGGCATTATATTTCCAGTAGGCCTATTCTGTAACTTTTTAACAACATTCGATATTGTTTATTTTACAACAATTTCATTTGTTTGTCTTGTTGTTTTTACAATAACAACAGAAATTTAAACAACATCGAATGTTGTTAAAAGTTACAGAATAAGCCTTCAGGTCGGTATTTTGAGAATTTTGGACACGTTTTTCAGTCGAATTTGGCTGTAATTTGGTATTTTGTATATTCAGTGGTTGTCAAATCTCACTACCAAAAAATATCAGCATTGATTTCCGTCTAATTATAGCCACATATAACAATAGCATCACTGTTACATATTTTGAGAGGGTCCTTTCATAACTTAAGTCCACATTAAATTTAGATATTTTGATTGTCGTCCTCATGGGCATAAAATGTTCGGCCGGTCCGAACTTAATAAACAAAGTGAAGTGGATGTGTTTTTTATACCCTTCACCACACTGTGGTACAGGGTATTATGTCTTTGTGCATATGTTTGTAACAGGCAAAAGGAAACGAGATAGACACATGGTCCCTTTTGAGAATATGCATCGCTTTTTAGTCGCTTTTTAAGTCGATTTATGCATGTCCGTCCGTCTGTCTGTCCATGTTAAATTGTAAACAAAGTACAGGTCGCATTTATTATCTGAATTGGATGAAATTTGGCGTACGTCACTTATTTGGCCCAAGGACGAACCCTATTGAAATTGGGAAAAATCGGTTCAGATTTAGATATAGCTCCCATATATATTTTCGTCCGATTTAAGGTAAATGGGGCACCAAAGTCCCTTTATATCTTTCGATTTGCACGAAATTTGGCACAGAGTACTAAATTAGGTCCAGAATGATTTGTGCTAAGTTTCGAGAACATCGGTTCAGATTTAGATATAGCTCCCATATATATTTTCGTCCGATTTAAGGTAAATCGGTCTCCAAAGTCCCCATATATCCTTGGATTTGCACGAAATTTGGCATAGGGTACTGAATTGGGTCCAGAATGAAGTGTGCTACGTTTCGTAAAAAACGGTCTAGATTTATATATAGCTCCCATATATACTTTAGTCTGATTTAAGGTAAATGGGGCACCATATCATATAGTCGGCCCAGTCCGACTTTACTACTTTCCTTACTGCTTTTTAGTTTGGATTTCGGATTCTCATTGCGTAGAAAATCTCCCTAACTTAATTATGGATCAAAGGATTTTTAATGTCACACACAAATTAACAAGATGGCGGACGTATGAAATTTAGTTTAATGTATGTTTGAATTAACTAGAAAACCAATACTAAATGTTTGGAAATCATGAATGGACGGCACCCCCTTTAAACTTCGAATATTCCGAATCGATTTTCCAATTTTTAAATGAGCCTGAAATTATGCAACAATTATTCGTTAACCAATCGATGAATAGAATTCAAAATAGAACTGTAAAATTTTCACAATTATTTTTAAAATAAGAAAGTATTTGTTATAATTTTTAAAAGTCTTAAAAATTCCTAAATCTGCTCACTATATGAATCTGTGGACTGATTTGACCCAATTTCATCATCCAGCATTCAACGTCCATTTACAGGAGTGATACAAACCTCAAAACATGGAGCCGCAGCAAAAGAGAGGACACATGCCACGACGAACTTTTAATGTCCCTCTGCCAGGTGTCCTCTCTTGTCCATTTTTAAAGATATTTCCTAAATTTACCCATCCAAGGTACTGATTTGTTTGCTGTCCGGTGACCTTTTTACCTACCCATTGCGGATATTGTGTATGTGTTGGTGTGTGTTTGTTGATGTTTTTCACATTCAAATCCCATTTTTTGTGTTTATCTCATTTTTGTAATTAGATATCCATAAATGTTTAATGTAGTTTATACACTTGCTGTTTGTCAGTTTTTTGTTGTTGTTATAATTTTATTTTTAAATGTGTATTTTATTTATTTCGTTTTGTTATCAGATAATATTATAATTTAATCTTTAATATTATTTACACGATGTCATAAACATTTAACTTAAACTAAAATCACTTGGAATTTGTTGTTGTTTGTTTTTATTTTTTATGTTTTTGTGTTTTTATTTTCTATATATTTTTTCTTCTGTATACATGTTTTATATGTTGCTGTTGTCTTTTGTTTTTGTAAAATACAATAAATTTGATTTGTTTATATAGCTATTAAATATTATTTCCATACCATTTAAAGAATTATTTTTTTTGTTTTTGTTTGTTATTTAAATTTAAAGATTTACGAGTATATACACAATTTGTTTCATTATTAATTTTTAAAGGTTTTAAATTTTTTACAAAAATCATAATTGTTTTTAAATTTTGAATACATACATATAGATAAATATAATAAAAAATTAAATTTTTAATTATTTTGTATTTTTTGTTTTGATAATTTAAATAGTAAATATATATTTAATTTATTTGTATTTTTATTTTATATATATTCTTTTGACCAAAGTATTGTAATATAATTTACAGTTAGTTTTTTGTTGTTGTTGTAAATAAAATTTATTATCAACAAAATAATGAAAATAATAGATAGTTATATGCAACTCTGCAAAAAATACCGAGGGGAGAAGAAATACAAGTCTGTTTTAATATTGTTTGTGGAAGGGGAAAATATATAATTTAATGTTTACGGTTTTGTTGGGATGGGGCTTATGCAGGGTGGTCTGCTGAATATCAAGGTTAAGGGCAGATATTTTAAAAGGGTGATATTTTATAAAAAGAAGACCTGGTTGGAACCTGCAGAAGATTTCTGACATTTGTACAGAAGACCTCTAAGGTATACCTCTTTACACTTGATAGAAGTTCTGTACCTAAAATACACCAATCAGATGTATTCTATGACCTATGGCAGGTATTCTGTATATAGAAGAACTTTTACAGGTCTTCTATGTATAAAAGGTCTCAGGCATGTCTCCTATGTATAGATGATCTCCGAAAAATATTCTATGTATGGAAGACCTAAGATAGGTATCTGTAGACTACATCTTAATGGCATTTTATCTATAGAAGAGGCCTGATAGGACTTCTTTCTGTGAAAGGCCCCTGAAAGATGTTGTGTATATAGAAGACGTCCGAATGGCCTTTTTTATGTAGAAAAACTTCGAAACATTCGAGAGGTCTTTCATGTATAGAAGACATTCGAAAGGTATTTTATATATAGAAGACCTCCGAAAATTCAATTATATACAGAATACCTTTGAAAGGTCTCTTATATATAAAAGACCTGTGAATGGTCGTATGTATATATATAGAATACCGCTGAAAGGCATATTAAATATAAAAGAACTCCGAAAGATCTTTTATATAAAGAAGACTTCCGAACGGTATTTTATATATAGAAGACTTCCGCGAGGTCTTTCAGTTAGAGAAGACTTTTTATCGCTCATCTATGTATAGGAGACCTCTGACAGGTCTTCTACCTATAGAGAACCTCTCACAGGTCTTCTACCTTTAGAAGACCGCTGATAGTTATTCTAGCTATAAAAGACCGCTGGAAGTTGTTCATCCGAAAGGGGTTCTATCTATAAAACCTATGGGGTTCCTTATATAGAAAACTACGTATTTTGCCTTCGGAAGTCTTGTAATGGTCCAGTTATCTATAGAAGACCGGTGCAGGATACTCTAACTACAGATGTTCAATAAAGGTCGGACTTTCCTCTAAAAGTGGTTCTTCCTTCATTTTTTTGTGGGTAATTTTGATTTCTATTGCAGTATCTTATGTGTATGTCCACATTTCTTTTTTGCAGAGTTTTTTTTTTAAAGAAAATATTAATAAGTTTCTTATAACCAAGGCTAACTGTTGTGTGACTGTGTCTTCAGAAATTCAAGTTTTGCTTTTGCTCGAGAAAAGTAAACCGAATAACAACGAAGAATTTCTATATCTAACTAAAATTTCTTTTTCGCTTTACTTATTTTCTTCTACTGAAAATCTCTTATGCCCTCCCTACTTTACCTTTTATCTTATATTAAAATCTCTCTCTTACCCTCCTCCTAATGTAAAAATGCTGTCATTTCGATCGTTTCAAAACCGCCAACTGCACTTACCCCACCCTTTTCCCGTTTCATGCTATTTAACCAATTATATTTTTCCGACCTTGAACCCGACCCGGCGATTTGCATGTTCGTGGCATGTTCATGGCATTTTTTCAATGAATATCAGTGATACTGGTGCCTTAAACTACCGGTATGATTGATGTTGTTGTTGTTATTATTGTTAAGAGTTGTAATTTTGTGTAGAGTTGCCACACTACTATTATTGTTATTATTTATGTGATTATGTTGGGGTTGCTGCTTCTGCTGCGATGAATTACCATTCAAAGAACTAAAGGTTGATCTACGTCCGGTAGTGTTGCAGCTACCGTTGCGTAGTGGCAAGGCCGGTGGCGGTGGTGTGGGCGGTATTGGCGATTCAGATGTAGGACTAGCATCATTATTGTGATCCACTGGCAAGGAATAATGGGAATTGTTGTGCAAATAATCACCCTCATCCATGGCAGCGTGGTGATTATATTGCTGTGGATATTTCAGGGAGTTGTTGTGATTGAAATGATCCTGGGTCAAGCGTATGTGGCGATCGGTTGTATTGTATTTTGGTGTGACATAAGACACACCGCCATTTGGTGTTATCGGCTGGGAGTAGATGTGATTCTGGGTCAGCGAACTTTCTTGTTGCCAATTATTTTGACTGTGCCGAGGCAATGAGGTCTGATTGGATGACTTCGTATTGGCCAACTTACGCATATCCTGTTGCGATTGATAGTTATATGGTCTGGTGGTGTTATTGGTCATATATGGGATTTGATTTAGTTGATTGACAAAGGAGTTTTGATTATCGGGTAGAGGACCACAACCATTGTACACAGATGTACCATTGGGAACTTTCAGCTGTTGTAGGGTGTTACAGTTACTGGCAGTTGCATTTGTGGTCGATCCCCGACCTCTTTGTTGAGGTGGGGGTGGTGCTTCTAGCTATAGTTCGGTAACAGGAATGGGTCGGGATCCCATATATTGCAGAGCATGTTGGCCACCATAACCGCTGGTGGTGGTGGCATAGGGTGCGGAGCTGCTCATGGCACAGGGTATTTGGGGATGGCGATTCATGTAATCCTCCTCGGAGAACGTTTTTTGATATTCCCGCTCTTTGCGACCCAGGGCGGAATTACCCCAGCCTCCTTTGAGCACTTCGCGTATTCTCCGCCGACAGGAGTAGATAATCAAAGCCAAGGCGGTAATGGCAGCTGCCGTCACGACAAGTAAAATACTAATCATAGCCTGTTGATTGGGACTGCTGTGATTACAGCCCAACATGGCAGGGCTAAGGGTATTCAAATTCTCTCCCTTCAGACTGGCAGGGGCTGAACATATCACACCCTGGATCTGTTCGCTGGTATTATTTTTATTGATTATCAAAGTGCGCAGCCACAGTAGACGGCAATCGCACACCAACGGATTATCGGAGAGGTCCAAAGTGGTCAAGTCGGCCCATGGGAAGAGTCCCTCACTTAAGGTAATAATTTGATTCTCCTTCAGGATGATATGTTTCAAGTGAGGCAAACCACTAAAGGCATTCTCTTCAATTTCGGCCAGCATCTTATTTGCCGATAAATTCAAATATTCCAAGTTGGTATTACTCGAGAAGGCTCCATTCTCCACCTTTTGCAGCCTTTGGGCTCCTGTAACTTGCAAACGTTTGAGGTTTTTCAGTCCCGCCAAGGCATTGCTGGGTATCAGCTCAAAATCATTTTGTCCCAATGCCAATTCCTCCAAACGTTCCAAATGTGACAAAGCACTTTGTGGTATAAATTCCAAACGATTATCGGAGAGATCTAGGTAGCGTACGCCCTCCAAACCTTTCATGGCTTCCAACGAGAGATTGTGCAGACCCGCTCCCTTTAAATCTAAACGGGTTAGCCCTTTCAAATCTTCAAAGGCCTTGTTGGGTATGGACATAAAGGAATTGGTGCCCAAATACAGCTCCGCCAACATTGGCATAGCCTGGAAATTTTCCGGAGCCGGCACTGAGGTCAAGGTGTTGTCATCCAAATACAAAACTCGTAAATTCTTCAACCCGTCAAAGGCATGGGCAGCAATGCGACTAATGCGATTCTGGCCCAAATTCAATTCCTCCACTTTGAGCAACGGTGCAAAGGTGTAATCCTCCAGCTCGGCCAAGAGATTGCCACGAATATTCAAAATGGTAACCGCCGACAAACCCATTAACGTTTTGTTGTTGATTTGGCCAATCTTGTTGTGATTCAAATGCAATTCTTGCAATTTGCGTTGGAAGGCAAATGTCCTCGGGGGTATGGTTACCAAATCGTTGTACGACAGATCGAGAAACGTTAGCTCGGCATAGAACTGAATGCTCGAATCGATGGTTTTGATTTTATTGTTTTTGATTACCAGCCGTTGAATGGACGGATTCAGGGCAATGGGCAGGACGTCAAGAGTGCCTTCACCGCATTTGACCACGAGAGTATCATCATCACATTGACAGCCATTGGGACAATTTGCCAGGCCATTAACGGGAACCGCAAGTAAACAGGACGACAACACCAGTAAAGCCAATATTAGCCATTGTCGAGAACAATGTAGGGGCCAGAACAGAGAACTATTGCTGCTGCTGTTGTTGCTGCATTCTTTTGGGCTTTTATGGGTGCTGTTGGTGTTGTTGTCGTTGTGGCCATGTTGTCGACGTTTACACGATTGTGTTGGCAGTGGACCACCCACAACTATTGTTGCTGTCATTTGCTTATGACACAAGGCTTCTTCGTACTCTACTGCTGCTTTTGTTTGTCTGTGATGGCTGTAGGAGTTGATATCTGTGGCATGGCATGTTACAAATGCTCTCTCATTCTCCTCCCCCGCCTCCTCCTGCTGCTGCTGCTTCTGAAATTCAGGCGGATAGGTTTCTTGCAAACGTTGATAACATTCAAAATTTACACCCATTGTGTTTTCTATTTGGTTTATTTTGTTGTTGATTTGTTGTTGTTGTTCTTGCTGTTCAGTTTTTGCTTTTGTTTCCGTTTTTCTTTTCGTTGTTTTTCTCATTTTGTGTAAGCAATTTTTTGTGTTTTATTTTTTCTTTCCAACTTTTCTTTTCCTATTCAGAGTAGGTGTTTTGTGGTTTATCCTCCAAAAAACGAAGATGAAATTTTTATTGTTGTTTTGAAGTTTTTTCCCGCCTCCAAATTCGTTTTTTAATAAATTCTTTGCAATTTCTTGGCGTGTTTGTTGCGCTCGTTGTTGTTGTTGCTGCTGCTGATTTGAACCATTTGTTGCCAATAAATTGTATATTCACCACACGTCATTAGTATCCGTTTTTAATAAACTGCAAAGAAATAGAAAAAAAACATAGGAAAACCACAATGAAATAAAGGTCATAAATCAAAATGAAAATTTTTATATTGAGTGAAACAGAGAGAAATATAAAATAAATGTTATTGGTATTTTTGTTTTACTGATTTATGAATATTTAATGTGTACATTTATTATATTTTTTTGAGTTTTTAATTAACTTTTCTATAATATTGAAATGTGAAGAATCAAATTAAGCTTAGATGAAAATTTAAGTAGTGTTTACAGTGGATATTCAATTATTTTTTCAATCTTCAGAAAAATTTAGCAATGGCAAAATATTGTCAATTTTTTTTTTTTTTTTTTTTTTTTTTTTTTTTTTTTTGAGAAACAAATTGTGCTTTCATAAAGAGATTTATAATTTGAACCGCAAGTTATTGTAGGGTATTACTGTTGCTGAGAGTTGTAGTAGTGATCGATCTCCGACCTATTGCTTGATGTAAGGGTGATGCAAATTTTGATATTTAAAAATTTATTTTATATATATATATATATATATATACCAACCCTACACAACTACCACTGGACTCAAATTTTCAAATGGGGGAACACCCATGGAAAGCAAAAATATAGATAAAATTACGGTGTCGTTGATATGCCCACGAGTCACGCCTTGTTGTCATCCTACGATCGTGAGCGAACATATGTGGGTGGTGTCTGTTGATCTGAGTTTTAGGACGACAGGGGTAGATCAACCTATATCAAACCTTCTGAGACAGAAGTGGACTCTAACTCAAATTCTGAGACTGAATATGAATACACGATAAATACAACCGTCCTAGAAAGCCGAAGGAGCATAGAGGCTGATAAAATGATTGTGGAAGTGAGCAAGGACATCGCCAGTTATATGGGCCACAAAAGCGAAAAATAGCCATAATGAACCGCAGAAACCAAATTAAACAGCAAGCATACGCTCAGAAAACCTGATGGACCCCCCCCCCCCTACTTCCTCGGAAGTGGCAAAAAGGATTAGATTCTCGGAAGAGCTGACGAATGCCAAACCCGCAAAAAAGAAAAAAAGCTTCCCGTTGGCTGATAGCAAAAGCAGACATATCCTACCCGAAATCAAAGGAGACTGTAAAAATCCACAGACTGAGGGTGACGATGTCGGCTCTTGAAATTTGGTTACTTCAAAATGCCTAACCAGAAATTACGAAGACAGCGACAAAGGTTACCAGGAGGCACAGCAGTGATCGACGTAAACCGTGCGTCTGGAAAATTAAAAAAGGAGATCCATAAGGAGGTGAAATATGCGGTCAATAATCAAATCGTGGAGAGGTAATTGCAATGGGCGATCCCTTTTATCTGGACAGCTGCAGTTTCAAGGGGGACTATCTAACGCTAGAGTCTGAGACATCAAAGAGCATATCGTCCCTATTAATGAGACAGTCAAACATAAACTGGTGAGAAAAAATACCCTTCTTCAATTATAAAAGGTAACGGGGGCAGCGAGTTAACGACAGAATGCATGCTCGAAGTTTTTAGCCTACAAAACAGAACACTCCTGGTGAAGAAATGGGAGGAGAAGAAAATTGACAGTCCACTTGTGATGGGCCTAGACAGATCTTCATTGAAAAGTCTGATCAAGACTAGAGACAGGGCGCACTACGTGTCCAATGGAGTCTTCTTTAAGATTGGAAAGGCAAGGATCGGAGAGGAGGATGCAATAAATGGTAGC